GAAATTCAAAGGGCCGATTTGTGATCTGGTTAAGAAATCCTTCAGAGTAGATGGTGAGACAGAGATTAATCACGAACATCTCCATTGAAGGCTGCATCACTGTCGTCGTATTGGAATGGTAAACCTGTCCCTCGGATAGTTTCATTGGATGCACGAATATTGAAAGTCCAGAGCATGATAGAGATATTTATCCAAAGCAATCGTTCTCCAAATGTGATGCCAGGGCATGCTATCAAACAATAGTGACGAACTTCTCGGAATTCTTAGAAAAATACTAGCCTCGTCGACCAAAACCAAAAGCACTTGTCTCGTAATTTGGCTTCAGGTTTCCCTCTGAGTCAAGAAACCGTTCAGGGATGAATCGGTCGTGATACTCAAATTTTGACTGGTCATGCTCAATCGCCCTATTTTGAAACATATTGAGACTGACTCGAAACCAGGACAAATCACTCACCATGTGACAGGAAATATTATGCTACCCTTTGGAATGAAATACCATTGACCTTGTGTACCAACTATGTCATCAGCAATGGAACAGCGGGGCGCGCCAGACCGAACTACATTTCGAAAATTAGCTCCGACACTGAGTGGTGCATAAGCAGAAACGTTGAGCATGCCTGCGGGGCGCCATCGAAGAGTCTCTGAAAGATAGTATTGCTGTGAGGGTATGCAAACATAGAGATAATCAGAGAGCGTACCACGAACAACAGCATCTACATAAGGAAGAAAAGGACGATCCTTGAAAGTAGGCAACCGGCCAGTTCCTACGATTTTATCAATTTCTCTTTGAGCTGTAGCAATCCAGTCTGGATAACGGATGCACGCCAGAACAAAGGTGTGTAGAGAAATTGTAGTCTAACAATATTAGCTACCAGAACAAGACATAGATGAGAGGTTTTACCGATGCGATGGCTGCCTACAAATCCAGATTGGCTATTGCGTCATCTAAATCACAGGAACAGACTCACTAAAGCAGACATTCTCACCAGGTGGCGTTGGTCTCCTTCGGGCTTGTCTTCCCTTGCAAAATAAGCAGCCCAACTGACAGATAACTCCAGATTAATAACCCCCTTTCATTACTGAAGACGTACGTGTTAATACCAGATGCCTTGCCCGAGACAGCATCAGCCATCAGTTTCTCATACAGTGCATTGTTGCGCGTAAGGAATGACTGTGCCCGCATACGCCATGGCATCCGCCCAGGAATCAAGTCCAGAAGAGGAAAGATATTGGTGATACTGGCAGATGGCGTTCCCAAGTAGACTACCTCAGCAAGAAGCTAAAACCAGGTCGATAAATGCATACCACACCTTGGACACCAGTTACTCACATCAAGAATAATCTGAAGTGCTGGCTCGCGGCCAGTGGGAAAATCCATGCCAAACGCTGCTGAAAAAACAGTGCTTAACACTACCCTGACATTAGAATAAAATCAGTCGTAGATCCAGCCAGATAAGGAAAAGGTTAGTACCGTTCTATGTGACGAAACCAGTCCTTGCCACCATCATCAAGCAGATGCTGAATATTAAGGATAGCCTCATATTCTTGTAATGGATCTGACTTCCCAGTTCGCACAAGAGACATGATCCTGGCAGTCAGCTTCCGTCCCAAGTGGGCTTCTTCATCCGAATCATTGAGACCCCAAAAATTTTTCTCTGGATCAACATGCTTCTGCTGATGTTAGTTAGAACCAACAATTAGATTAATGATAGAACTAAGCGTGAGGAAAGACTTACGAAGTAATGCATTGCTGGGCGTGATGAATGCTTAGCCGAGTGTTTTTCCAATAGCTCCTTAGCTATAGTGAGGTCCCCAATCAGAATCACGGTCTAAGAATGACGTATGTGGAACATGAAGATGAGAGAAGTATAAGTGAATCTCACATAGCCAGCCAAGTTCAAAGACACAAGGCTTCCATAATTTTCAATCATACGCCTAAAGTATGTTGCCAAGTGCTGACAGGCACAGCCCAGTCAATGTCATCAGACAGGAAAAATGAAAAGCATACTGTGCCAGGGACTTGCAGAATATTTCCAAGAAGTGGCAGTCCACTCGGGCCTGGAGGTAATCTGCCGCACGCCCTGTTGGTGTGTTGAAGATGTACAAGAAAAAATGTGATGAGAATTAGGCTGGTGACCGTGGTGGTCCATTCAGCATACATGGAGGGAGAAGTGGGTCACAAGTAGAGAATCCTACTCAACCAGCAAGTTGCTGGAAACATATAATGCTGCAGTATCTACTAGTTCAAAGGCTGTAATATATGAAACTGACTATAGCTGCCATTTGGGGCTTTTGCAATGTTTGTAAGGTGCGACTTGAACGGGAACCAAAGCAAATATAGACATGAATGTCTGGGATGAGATTCTTCAGTTTTCTTTTTCACACATCTTGGGTCTTGTCTCGGCAAACAGCGTACTTTGAACTCTATGTATTCTTAATCACAAGCCTAGCAAAGACGTCTCACGTCCACAACAACCGAAATCATCTTTAGCTCCATTTAATTTCACATTCGGCCAACAGCGGAGTATGAACTCTATGTATTGTGTTTTGTAACCTTATTGAGCTGTACCGCAAGAGGTTGAGGAGACCTCTATTGGCATCTCAGGTTTCATTTTTAGAAATCAGGATCCTCTGAGGGCTGAATGCCATGGGCCAATATGGAAATGCCAACTGAATATATCATTGAGCATTGAAATCATTGTGTTCTCCTTGTAGTATGGAAGCACCTCCTTCTGTTAATCATCTTAGGCTAATTTGCAATATTTGTAAAGTGGTTCAAATGGCTATCCAGCACACATATAGATATGCACATACAAAAAAACGGCTGTGGTTCGGGATGCTTGTGAATCAAATGACGCTCTAGCGGTTTTTCTTACTCCGGACCATCTATGACCAGTCATAGACTAGCGGTGCTAGACCAAGATTGTGCCAGTATAAAATACTTCTTTCATCCCTCTTTCTTCCATCAGTTCCAAACAGCTGTCGACAATTCACAAACCTTGCACTCTTATTTACTCAGACAAGTATGGTTCACTACCGTATCCCAAACCTCCTGACCCATGTACATGCGTACATCAAACCTGACATGAACCCAAACTACTCCATTCTCCAAGCAGAATATGAGGCATGGATTGACCAGTCTAATTTTTTCCGTACTGATGCACAAAAAAAAGTATGATTAATCTTTATTTTCCCTTCATTTTCGGTACTGAGTATCCCCTTCTAGACTTGGAAGGAGGCAGACTTAGCTCTTCTCTCTTGCAGATTCTTCCCAAAATCGAGCTTGGAGCACCTTCGCATCTGCATGGATTATGTGATGATTTCTTTCATCCTCGAACAACTAACGTAAGTATGAAGAAAACATAAAATCGAGCAGGGACCAACATCCACAATCTAGTGACCAACCTGCTACCACTGCTGAAGCCCATAAATGGGTAGATGTCTACAAGCAAGCGTTCAAACAGACATTGAGAGCGACTGAAGAACCTGCATTGATTATAAAAGAGTTGCGTAACCGGAAATATCTCTGACCTTAAGCAACTGAAGTTTTGAAATCAGGTTTGTTGATCGACTACTGTATGCTGTCAAGGACCCCCACTTTGTTCAAAACAATATCTTCCTTGCAGACAGCATGCTGAAAGAAGCCGCTGATCGCGCAACCCATGCTGAACTTGACCTAGAGGCATATATGAGGACTAGAAGAGGCACAATCGGCATGATCCAGGTTTTTTATATTGGTCGTTTGATCTGCATCTCAGATCTCTCTCCCGAAGTTCAAATGCACCCTGACATTATCAAGTTAGATGGACTATCTCGTGATCTTGTCTTGCTTGGGAATGTTAGTATCTTTCTTCCCCTTTCTACATCTGATCGCTGAGTTGTGGGTTGTTTGCTACAGGATCTCTATTCTTACAAGAGAGAATACCTTGAATGTGGCGCATATCATAATTACATCACTATTGCCCTCAGGGTTCCCATTGCGGGTCTACACACCAACGACCGGCAGGGCGCAATTGACTATACTTGCCAAAAGTTTTGTGAAACCCTGGCAGACTTTGAGCATACCAAGAAAGCATTGTCGTCATTCGGGGAGAACGAAGATGCCAAAGTTGCCAAATATGTTGCGGTGCTGATGGATATCATCATTGGAAATATTCAGTGGAGTATTTTGTGTGGGCGATATGGCCACACAGGAAATTCTAAGACTATCGAGGCTCAGAATTGGGGTGTTGAGGTCGTTTTCGATTTATGAAATAAAGAAGTAAAGAGTAGCATCACGAGTATCTGCACTGATGTTTATTTGATTCAATTTTTGATATGATCCATTATGTAGCTGTGCTTTTTAACTCCATTCACGTTTCTCAAGGTTTTAAAACCATACTAAGGTAGTTCTGACAGCGCAAGTAGGTAGTATAGTCCATTCTCAAGTTCCCATTGGTCATCAATTACTTACGAAGAGGTGATGCTCAAAAGGAAGTGGGCCACTCTAATTGTCGAATTTCTTCAGCTTAGCTAGAGTCAGCACTAAATTATCACCCTTCTCAAGTGTCACCTTGTCCATTCCACTCTCCTGCCTAAAACACCTCTGCGCAGACACTGTGAGCTTAGATAGCCGGGAATACAATGGTGCACTGACCCTGGGCGGAGCTCAGGCCTCTTTGTCTGCGGACAAAGACACGATAGACAAGACGAACATACAAATACACTAGATACCAAGCCACCCTCAATCGATTGTACAGAGATTGAGGGTGAGCACAAAAATCACTTACAGTTTCGGACTTTAATACTTACGCATACCTTAGAGATACTTATCTCTGTGAATAGTCTAGGTATGCACAATGAATCGATTGTACAGAGATTGAGGAGATACTTATCTCTGTGAATGCTCTAGGATTGGACTTCAACATGAACGTTGCAACAAGATGCGCGTGCAGCGCTCATTCCGCTCCAGATTGGCCAACTTTGGCCTTATGAATGTTACGTGAGTTAACTCTAATGGGTGTCCCGTGGCTTAGTTGGTTACGGCGTCCGACTGTTAATACTCTCAAAATCGGAAGATCGAGAGTTCAAGTCTCTCCGGGACAGGTTATGATTCCTTCATACCTTTTTGACCTTTATGAGAATCACAAGACTGATAGGAGTAGCTTCGTCACAAGATGTGTTTCCAAGCCTCTTTTCCTCTTCTATTGGAATAGTGTAAAAAGAAATAGCACTACTTTTTTACATGTGTACAGCGAACCAAGCGCATATGGTAAACAAATGATGAAGAAAAAGGAAAAAGGCCACTGTATCACGTTTCCAGCGCTTTGACAATCCCAAACGCCGCTCCTGCTGCTACGCCTCCAACAAGCAGTGTGCTAAACGCCCCATAGATGTACCCCTTGGCTCCCATGCCCGCACCCGTCACACGTGCCTTGACCGCACCGAACACAAGGAGAACGATACCAGTCACAATGCAGGAGTATATCAGTGCAACATGTGCACGCGGGATGAAGAAGTATGGCAGAAGGGGGATAAGACCACCGATAAGGTATCCCATGCCGATGGTAAATGCCGAGCTGTACAGTCGCGAGGTCGGAACTTCCTCTGGAAATAGAATAATACGAGGATCAGCCAGTTATTCATCCATTACGCATGATTACCAAAGGTTCATCGCATGTTCTGTCCATAGGAATGACAAAGCAACAGATATAGAACACCGAAGCACGTAAGACATGAAAGCACAAGAACTGAACTTACCAAGCCCTTGACCGAACTTGAGCAAGAACGCTGTAAGCCCGACCTGGCCGCTCCAGCGCAACGCCGTCTCCTCGTCCCTCGGCTGTCCGCCCTCATGCACATCGACCTGCATCTCAACCTCCCTAAGACACTGCGCAACAGATCTGCACGTCTTCTCGTCCACACCAACGGGCGCAAGCACCTCCGAAACCTCGCGCTCCATCTCGCCGTCGCAGCTCCTTATGACCCTCGCCGCGGTCTGGTGTCGAAGATAACGGTAATGATCTCGCTCAGACTGAGACGCGAGGAATCCACCAATGCCCATTGATATTGCGCCTGCGATGAGTTCTGCGACGCCTCCTAGGACAACAAGTCTTGACTCGCCGAGTGAAGAGAGACCTGCCGTTAGTGCGAATGGAACTGTAAGGCCGTCCGAGAGACCGATGACACTGTGCTCTTGTTGGCATTGAAAACGTAGAAAAAGTTTAATAACAACTTACACGTCGCGCACAATGTCGGGGTCAATGAGCGTTCGCTCTTCTGCTTTGAGTTCTTTGCAGCAAATACCGTCTTCACGATTCGGCATAGCACAGTTGGCTGGGAGTGGAACAGTGACTCCCGAGCGCGACGATGTTATAGGCCATACAGGCGCAGCGTTCGTTGGATTTGGTTCACGAGAAGGGAGGGGAACAGAAGACATCGTAGTTCGAAGAAAAGACGGCAAGTTAAAATGGTGACGTAGTTATAATCAGGAAACAATTGTTCCTAAGTAAAATAATGACAAATTGAATTAACTTATTCGGTCCACATTCTCTCGATAATGTCTATCTCGAACAGCCTCGAGCCGGAATTCATGCCAATTGTTCTGGAATTTCCACGAAACTCTCAACGACAGCAGAAGTCGCGGAACATCTCCTCATCTCCCCCCGGGAAAGAACGATACGGCAAGCTCATCATGCATACATTTGCGTCAAATTTCTCCAAATGTTACATACGTATATCACGTCGACGTCGAGCTATTGGAAAGACGGGTAGATGCATCAAATCCCTTGCGAATTGAGATTCAGACATCGGACCGCCTCACCGACTCGTTCTCCATGATCAATAGACAGCCCTGTGACTACCAAGCCACTTGGCAGCTTCTATCCCAGGTCTGAGAGGGTTAAGATATCGTACTTCCATGGAGCCGGGAATACGGTTCCGTGTCCGCCCGAACTCAGTACATACCCTGAAGCCACTATTTCAGGTTTAAGATGAAGATGCTTGTGCTGCCATAGAACCGGGATTACGGTTCTTCTATGTCTGCCCGATCTTAATCAGTACATACTCTGAAGCCGCTATTCCAGGTTTGAGGCTCCTGCTGCCATAGAACCGGGAAAGCCGCTATTCCAGGTTTGAGAAGATGAGGATTCTCGTACTGTCATAGAACCGGGTATACGGTTATTCTGTGTCTGCCCGATCTTAGTCAGGACATACTCTGAGGCCGCTATTCCAAGTTTGAGGCTCGTACTGCCATAGAACCGGGTCTGAGAAGATGAGGATGCTCGTACTACCATAGAACCGGGAACACGGTTCTTCCATGTCTGCTCGATCTTGGTTAGTACATGCCTTGAAGGTGAAAAAATGGGGAAGCTCGTACTGTCATGGTACAAGAATATGAGTATCTACCCGATCTTAGTTGATACATACCCTGAAACCACTATTCCAGTTCTGAGAAGGTTAGGAGCGGATGCGGATACTCGCCAGGAATACGGTTCTTCAGTACCCACGTAACCGCTTGGTTTAGGTAGTGGAGTGCGAGAAGATTAGTAAATCAAAGGCCAAAGCGATATCGATGAGAACTTGGTCGAAGGTGTTTGCTGGAAGTAGTCAATTGTTCAAGGATGCTCTCACTTTTTGTTGAGCTTCGCAGAGACGAGGGCATAGTCGGTACGTACCTCCGCTGAGTAACTCCAGTCATGAAACATACCGCTTTCACAAAAACTGACTGGAAGGATCTCATGCACTGCAGCATACCGTGACATACATTCATTGAGTGTGATGTCCAAGTCCGAGGCTAACTCGCAACTATCGATAAACAAGTGCTGACAAGTGAAGATGAAGATCGCACCTGTCCTAGTGCAATGATGCTTAAAAAGAAGCTCATCGCTAGAGAGCTTGTGGAGTGGGCTGACAGTATCCCGCAGCATAAGATACAGTAAGTATACCCGTAGATCCCTATCATGGACGTTTGTTGCAGGCATGTGCAGCCTGCACATGCCTGCACATGCCTGAACCAAATGTACACAGTACTTGCAGGCAACAAGACCTTGGCAACCAGACTCGGATCGATCGTTAGCGCGATCATTACATAATGTCACAACTACCTCACGCTACCAGCCAGGCTCTCGCATTCATACGCGTCAACCTGGAACCCCCCCATTTACCGTTCAACGTTCAACGCTAAAGCGTTCATTCTTGATTGTATTCAATTTGCAATCTCCTATACTCGTCGCGGTCGACTTCCTGATTGCTCACTGATTGACATTGAACGTTGAAGTCTTGATATCTGCTGTTCGTATCTACAAATGTACTTGAGTCAGTTGTTGATGGGTTGACGTTGAACGTTTAACGTTGAAATCTTGATATCTGCTTTCGTATTTACAAATGTACTTGAGTCAGATTGTTGATGTATTGATGTTGTACTGTTTTATCGTTTCCAACCCGTTGGTCGGAGGCTAGTCCGAACAATCTACCCGAAAACAAAACTTCTGTTCATATTTTACTCTTCTGTGTTGCTCAATGGCCACCGCCACGTAACTACGAATTTAGTACAGATGGAACACGGAGGAATGAAGCCTTTCCCAGACAAGACAACAAAATTTTTATCCTTTAATTGTTCTTCATCCTCATCTTCTGTTTTACCATTTCCATCCTCTCTCTATCCCACCTTGACAAGATCACCACCTAACTCTCCGATGAGTATTACTGATTTCTTTTGGGTCCACAGGCATAGTATCGTCTGGAATAGCACATACTTGCGACTCCGCACACTGCACAGTACCGCTCTATAACTATGATCTGACCTCAGGCCATGTCCGCATGGGTCACGGCTGGTCGATTCGACCCCTCAAACCCATTTTTTTCTCCTAGAAAAGCTTCTCCTATTTCCTCTGTTCCCCCCCTCTTTCTAACTGTGGCGTATATGCACAGCTTCTGGTCTTCAAGTGGGCTACTAAAGCTCCTAAGCGCGACATAGCCCCGTCCAACTCCCTACCTCAATACTCTATGCACTGCCTCGCCCCAGGTATAAACGGTCGACGAAGACGACCGCAACTTCATTATTTCAGCCTCGAGATCACTCCAATCGCAACACCACACTCTACAATCTAGCAATGAAATTCCCCACCTTCACTATCGCCGCTATACTCGGCCATGCAGCTCTCGTCATTCCTACGCTAGGTGCACCGGCTGTACAACGTCGTAATCTTGCACAGGTCAGTTTCTTCATAAGTCATTAAATCGTGATCGCCGATATATTGTGCAAAATAGCGAGGTTACTACAGCCACTTCAATTATGACTACAACTCCTTCACCAACTGGATAACAGAGGTGGTATATAGATGCAATATGAGTACTCGAGAAAGCCTTACATGTACTATACTTGGATGTCGTTGGTGCCCATGAAAAAAGTTTAGACCAACAATCACCACCGAGAGAAACTAGTGACGCTTCGAGAACGCAGGCATAGTGGTACATTGGATTACACTAGCTAGTACGGATAGACATGACCAGAACGGCGGCTGGCGTGGCGATGATCGGAACAATGACTGGTGGAGCCTATACCCATACAAATGCGCAGGACACGGCGGGAACGGAGGCAATGGCTGAAACAGAGGTAACGGAGGGGGATCAAAAAATTCATGGGGATGCAACTCGTGGGGCGGTAATGGAGGGAACGGCGGTAATGGAGGGAACGGCGGTAATAGTGGGGATATACATTGGGATAGTTCCGGCGGTAATGGCGGTAATGGCGGCAACGGAGGGAATGGAGGTAATGGCGGGGTCGGTAGCTGGAGAGGTTTGGGTGGTAATGGTGGCAATGGGGGAAATGGGGGAAATGGTGGTAACGGTGGACGTAGCTCGGGCGGACGTGGTGGGAATGGTGGGAACGGCAGAAATGGCGGAAATGGAGGAGGGAAACATGGCGGCGCTGGAGAAAATGGCAGAAACGGCGGAAACGGTGGCAATGGCGGTTCTGCTTAAACTGCATTTTGGAAATAATAGAAAATAAACGAAAAAGATTACATCTAGCCACCTGACGTTTTCGTCAGCTGATCTTCAATCTCAATACTCATTCATTGCCAACTCTGTACGCAGGATCATGC